CATTTGGTTTTAATAGTCAGGGAGCCTTTTGGATGCATGGATGGCATCCACACTTTTGCCCTGGGAAAAAAAGGCGGCTTGGGCTCCATGCTGACATCTATTGGGAGACAGACACTGCTGGGAAAATGAGGTTTTCCTCTTCTCTTGGACTCTTTGTTTTAGGCTGAAGCTAACAGCTAGAGCACACGGTACAGAGCAAAGACTTGAAGTAGGGATATAGAACAGGAAATCTACAGTGTATAAGCTTCCTCTCCTCCCTGCTCATCTTCCCTCTGCTCTTCAGCATCATGACACAGACGCTTAAATACATATTAAGGCACACTTCTGAATCTGCTTCTTCAGCTTCCACAAATCTTGAAATTGCAATCCTTTGGGACCAAAGAGAGTCCTGTTCACAGGTAACTTCTATTTAGTCCTGGGCTGGCTCCCCAGACAGGCTCCCCACTGCCTGTGGTATTTGCTACTGCTGGCACCATCTGCAGGCCCTGCAAGAGAGGGAAGAGGAAGAACTCGGTCAAGTTTCTCACACCTTGATTTGAGTCTCTTTGCCAGTCAAAATGGGGAAGACACAGATTGCTACAGTCTATGGAGGGGTGAGTTTGGCAAAAGCCAAGGATCTGCAAGGAGTGTGCAGTAAGTGTGTAAATGAGTGTGCAACAAGTGTGCAAATGAGTGTGCAACGAGTGTGCAAATGAGTGTGCGAGGGGCGTGCAAGGAGTGTGCAAATGAGTGTGCAACAAGTGTGCAAATGAGTGTGCAACAAGTGTGCAAGGAGTGTGCAACAAGTGTGCAAATGAGTGTGCAAGGAGTGTGCAACAAGTGTGCAAATGAGTGTGCAAATGAGTGTGCAACGAGTGTGCAAGGAGCGTGCAAGGAGTGTGCAAATGAGTGTGCAACGAGTGTGCAATGAGTGTGCAAGGAGCGTGCAACGAGTGTGCAAGGAGTGTGCAAATGAGTGTGCAAGGAGCGTGCAAGGAGCGTGCAACGAGTGTGCAAATGAGTGTGCAAATGAGTGTGCAAATGAGTGTGCAAGGAGCGTGCAACGAGTGTGCAAATGAGTGTGCAAATGAGTGTGCAAGGAGTGTGCAACAAGTGTGCAAATGAGTGTGCAAGGAGTGGGCAAATGAGTGTGCAAGTGTGCATTAGTAATCGATCACCGAGCAGTCGATCGGCAGGCATTAGCAATCGATTGCCGATCTAATCGATCGGCAGGCATTAGCAGTCGATTGCCGAGCTAATCGATCGGCAGGCATTAGCAATCGATCGCCGA